TCCAACCTACTAGCATTGGCCTCCAACCTACTAGCATTGGCCTCCAATCTACTAGCGATGGCCTCCACCCTACTAGTGATGGCCTCAAACCTACTAGCAATGGCCTCCAACCTACTCATGCTGGCTTCGATCATTACATGGCCTCTGTGAAAGGTATAGTGAGTTAAACTTTGGTGCGTCAAATGTATGGTGAACATTGGTGAACTAGCGAACTTCCTGGCTTCTCCTACAACGGAGTTGATCTCCCACAAAGACATACAAAAACATCCTCCGAAAACGGAGAAACGTGCATGAAGTCATTTTGGAAGCCCGTGGAAACGAATGAGCTCTGCAACGAAGCATGCAGCTGAACTCAAGATGCTTTAAGGGCAAACATCTTCACGAGTCCATTCTCAAATGGTGAACGTCTTGTTGGCCTATACTATACAATACATGGGTCTTTTCACCTCACCCACCTCAAGCCCGGGCACATCATCACTGCCATACTGGTAGACGGAGCTCAAAGGGAATTTCCCTGCCTCACGTGGCGACTCCCAACATGCACCAATGCTTTTTGTTTTCTAGGCGCATGCGCCGTGCGAATCGTGGGAAGCCGATCCGTATACATGTCCACCAAGGGATCTGCAACGAGATGTAGCGACGGCACAGACAGATTCTTTCCAGAAGCTTTCGACAGAGCTTTCAGCGAAAACACCCCGGGTGTCGGATGGTGTCGGGATGTGAGGTGGATCTGGTTCTCGCAACAACACGGGCATCTGCAAGATCTCTGCACCATCCCATGCAGGAACCATCCCTCCCCTGTGACTTCCAAGACTAGACAAATGGGTTGACCTGGTGTTGTAGTGTAAATTTCCTTTCAACAAAAAGAGTTCTTCGGGAAAAAGGCACCTTTCAATGCATGGTGGTTGGAAGAACGGACTCTGCGGTCATCCCTTCGGGCTTGAAATCCAGGCGCGATCCAGTCGTACCGAACCTGAGAAGGTATGACAACGGCATCCCTATAGGGACACGTGCGTCCTCCCTGGGGCCGTCTTGTCTTGGAATGCGGCCGTATGCGGCCTCGATGGCCAGCTGTAGGAAGGGTGAACACTGCCCCGCCACATTGGTTAGGGCCATCGCCTGCAAACAGGGCCAGGGCGCGGGATTTGCCTGGGTAGCGAATCAGCCTCTTGAAGTTTTTCTTTGGTAGTCATGGTTTGTCTTATGTGATTTTTTTTTTCGTATGTTGCTTCGTGCAAATTAATGCTAAGGGTCTGGCTGAAATACCATGACAGTTAGCTACACATTGGGATTCGCAACTCTTGGTAGGTTGACTCTACCCCTGCGGGTACCAAGAAGCCTTCTTTGGTAAACATCCCAGCTCAAGACATGTTGGTCGCAGTCCAACTCACAGATGATAAATCTACCAACAAAGGTTGTCCGGTTCATTTGCTGACATTGGATGTTAAGTATCCAAAGAAGCCCTGATAACATGATGACAATATGTCAATGTATCTCGCTCACATACTTTGGATGATCCCTGCATGTCCCGCATCTTTGACGGAACCCTTACCCGTACGTCCGCGCGCCACGCTCCGAGACTCCCCGCGGCCGCCCGACCCTCGGCGAGCGTGCTCTCCGTCATGGCAAACGCGTGGAAACCGCCAAGTCAAGAGCAGCTCGGAGGACCGGGTTGGGGGTGGGACACCTGTGAAGATGCGCATGAGTTGGGGAAGGATAGGGACGTGGAAGCTGCGCATAGAGAAGAATGTGATCTTCTTCCAGTGAATACATCTTCCTTTGAGGGGCACCAACGAAGAAACATGGAGACTGGTTTGCTGAAGACTTGTCAGCGAGCAATACAGTAAGCGATGGGGGTCCCTTTCCAAGGCTGACATCAACTATACTTGTTGAATGAAGTGTGAGCAACAGGAACATTGAACATATCATACAATATCTAGGAACTCATGGAGGCTAGAACTCCAGCCCAAATCCATTCACTATTGTCGTTTTCTCAGGATGTCTGAGCCATTCTGAGCCACAAAGCGCGCAGCAAGCTTTCTGAACATACACAAATCTATACCAATCCTTATCCAATCCTTCGCCTTCATCACCGTGTTTGCTTTCCCACCGTTTTTCAGTGCATGTGACCCACATCCCATGCTCGATTCTGCTCGGGGTGTGCGTGTCCTCCCAACCTCGGCCTGAACTCCGCGAAGGATCACTCAAACGCGTTTCAGCGCCCAGCGTGGAAAAGCCCAGCAAACCCTCCAATAACCCTTGATTCATGGCCAATTCTACAAAAAAAACACATGAAGGGTGAACATGGAGATTGGAGGTGCACAGTGCAAATTCCACGGTAGGATCCAACGAAAAGAATCATTTCGATGTCCCAGCTTCTCTCAATGCAACACAACTTGCTTGATTGCTTGATGGTCACTGACATGCCCCATCCATTGCCCACATCTTTCTCCACGCAGTCTTGTTCTCTAAGTCATAGTCTGTACATCAACCCAGTCGCCGCGTGGTACTTCATGCAACGATTGGAGGTACTTCTAGGGGATTATCTTCCTCTGTGGTTTCATGATGCTTCACGCTTTGACAGTATGTGCGGTTGAAGACAACAAGACAATGCAACATGAAGGCCGAAATCTGCCACACAATGGTCAAACATATAGTTGCTTCCGTTTCTTTCGACACAACACCCTGTATTGTTTTTGCAACTACTTCCTTTTTGTTGATCCTCGATCAACCCCTACCGCTGCTCATATTGACAAACTCGGTGCAATAAACTCGGCTGAATCTGTACGTGGACCTCAAACGTGAGCAAACTAGGCTAGTCTTCGTAAGAATTTCCAACCAGCATTGTTGCATGTTTTGAACCGTGCTTTCTGTGTGGGGTTACAATCTTTGAGGTAGCAATGGCCTCCAACTCCTGGATATTCCTGGTCTCTTGTTTTTCTTTCCTCAGTCTTCCCCACGGCTGACCCATTCTTTGCTCAGCTGATTCAACATCGCGTGAAGAACCGACCACCACAGGAGCGAACGGCGCTCGCTCAAACTCCCTCCGTCCTGGCTGTGGAGAAACTTCGCTCCGCGCTCGCGTGCGCACGCATCAGTTGGTTGAAAGTGGTTGAAAGACTTGAACTTTGTGGGTATCATTAGCCGTTGATGCGTGTAAGTTGCAAGACTCGTCCAGTCCAAAAACCTGCAACAAAAACCAGCCCAACAGTCCAGTCCAGCTCACGATGCTCACGATGCGTCCGACCTTTTGGTGGGGTGGAAACGACCTTCCTGGTGGTGAGCGACGTGTCGCCTGTCCCTCTCGACTCCCGGTCTCACCGTGTCTGTGGAGCAAACGAACTCCACCTGTGAACTGGTGTAGGGTTCGGGTGTTCCCAAGGTTTTGCAGCTTCTCCACGGATGATGGAGAGGGTAAGACATGTTCCGAAAGACAGGAAGACATGGAACCATCTGGAGCCATTTGGAGCCATCTGGAGTCATGTTCTGACTCCAAGTATCTGCCCACAAATCCTACCATCGGTCGAAAAAATGAATGAACCCGAAAAAAGCTCCTGCAGGTCTCTCCTGGATCGAGATCTATGGAGGTGGTAGATTTCTCGTCAGTTCATCCAAGCAGAGTCATATAGGTCTTTGGAACGAAGCGAAGGACACGAGAGTGCCATTGGTGTTGAGGACTCGACAACAACGTCATCAGGGTGAACCCCCTCAAGCCATATGTCGAGGTCAATGGTTTTTCTATAACCAAAACGCAGTACCACCGATCAACGACCTGCGACCAAAACATCCAGAAACCATCCAAAAGCATCGTAGTAGCCACATGGACGGATAGATCATCATAGATCTGTTGAAATTTCTTGACACCCCGTGGCCTGGAGCCTTCTTCCACCTCATGACCACAGCTCCACAAATATCACCTTCCCCCCCAAAAAGGCCTACCGCTCCGCAGGCCTCAGATCCAAAACCAGCTCCTGCCGTGCCCCCCGTGGCCTCCGGCGCTTGGCGCCGAAACTGAAGAAGGAGGCCAAGCTGGACCGTGGCCTCAGAGGCCGGTGGAGCGGTGCGGTGGACCGGTGAGCAGAGCGCCAGCAGCAGGGCGGTGGCTTTTGGATCTGCCAGGTATCTGGAGAGATCTGGGGACATTTGAAGAGCAAGGACGGACTTCTTTGAGGTGATTTTTCGGCTGTGGCAATCTTGCAAAGGATGAGATGATGATCAGGATATAGATGCATCTGAGCGGCGGCATTGATTCATTACTAAACTCAAATACACTATATGTATTATGTGGCGGCCATATCTTGTTTAGACATGTTTAGACCACTGAAGTAGGAGGTCATGTCACAGTATCTCGTTCAGACTACTTAGTAGCAAATCACAGTATCTCGTTCAGACTACTTTATATAGTCTCATCAAAAATACATATCTCGTCTGTGTGCGGGCCCTATCTTGTTCACCAGCGAATACTGTTGGACAAACAAATTATACCGCAAATAGAGCATGCCGTAGACTACTAAATAAAAGTGGATGCTCATATAAGGAGCGGGGCAGCCATTGGTGTCCGAGGATAACATCGAGGTGAATCTAGAATCATCTAGTTCAAGAGCTTGAAAGCTAATCAGCACATGCAACCTACCCGCACCAATCGAATCCTTCCAAATCAGTCCTACACTTTAAGCGTCCCACGTGGCCGATCGGACGTCTCACGATCGGACTGACCCGAGTCACGATCGGAGCCCCGGTGTGCAGCACTTGCATCTCCCAATCCACCGGACTGGAGAACCCACTGCCTACATTGACCCTTCAAAACTGTGCCTACACGTCACCATATTAAAATCAGGCGACTTTGTATATATTTATGATGTGCCAGGTGTTTGAAACACCTGGGGAAACAAAAACAACACATGTTGCTGTTGTTGGGGAGAAAGCCATCCCCCCAAAGTTCCTGCTTTTGTCTCTGGGCTCAGTGGCACGGGGTCTGGCAGTTTCAGACTCTCCTGCCATCCAAGGGCGGCGTCTCCCCGCGGTTTCCGGTTGCAGGTTGGACCTCGACGATGCGTGCCCAGCTCGTGCAGCAGAATATATGTTAGGCTCAGGTCATGGCATCGAGTGCACGTTTCAAGGAGTCTATCAGTCTATCCAACTCAAATATAGGCCATGACGTTGGGTCCTGGCACCCAAGGTTCTAACTGCTTCCCCCAAAAAGAATTTCCACAGCCCTGGCATCTGCACATGGAGACTTACCAAACACAGGCCCCCCTTCCCAGGCACTGCTGCTTGGAATCCATTTGTGACCAGGGTTGCTGGTTTCTTTCATCCCTAAAAGGAAATTCAACTGTCCACCCGGTATGGCTCAACACTGGGTCCACCAAAGACGAGCCGAACATGCAAAACATATATGCACACAAAAACATTATGTTTTACTAACGTTACAGTAGTTCTCCAACACTTTGTGGCTGTTTCTTGGAGCCCAATCTGGTCAAAAACCACTTGGGAAAATAGAGTCACAGTCACATAAAACAAAGCCCAACAAATAACTGCAAAACACAGCTCTCCATGAGTATATCCACAGCTCCCTTCGCCCCGGTTTCCGCAGCGAATCCGGTGATTCCAATCTCCTTCGACAGGGTGACTCCGCCGACCCCGGAGAGGAGCGATGGCACCTGAACACCAAGGATGGGGACGGTTGGTCAAGAAAACAACAAAATCAACCAAAAGAACTCGCAACAACAATCAACAACATCATGGGAACAAGCTAAGCACCAAGAACCGGCAAAAACCGAAAAAGACAAGGACACAAACAGAAACAACAACCCAGTTTGTGACCTTGTGACCTTTCCCAGGCTCAAGTCACCTCAAAACAGGATATCCAGCTCACTTTGAAAAACCAGGGTATATACTATATACTCAGAGCCCCAAACAAGCCGTGCCCTGAAAACCAGCTCCACCCCCGGAACGTTGGTGTTGCTCCAAACCCCCCCGAACGGACACGACCTGACCACCGGGTTCTATTCAACATGACCACCCCATGACCACCGTGGTGCTGTTAACTCTGGCCATACCCGAGGTCTGCTGTGGCCTGAGGGTCTCCCTTGAGCCAGGCAGGTCCCATGCAGCGCCCCATAAACCCATGGGGCGCTAGTTGCTCCATGCTTAGGCGCTTCTTTGGTGAGAAAGGGGTGCAGTCGTGGAGATAAAGACAAGGCAATCTTTCCCAGAAGGGAATTCACTGCATATAGGAAACACCAACATCATCGGCCGCAAACAAGGCCTCAATGGAAGCGATGGATTTCTGACATAGTTCTGCAGTTTTCGGGTCGAAAGGAGGCGAGTACGATCGAAACCAGGTCGAATGGTCGTTGCCTGGGGGCCAAGATCCGATCCGGATGGTCCATGGACCCTGGGAAGTGATAACAACAGATCAGAACCCCAACTCTTCCTCTCCAATGTAAGCCTTCCCACATGGCTTATGGTTTACTTCACGGTTTGCGGTTTTACTCAGGGTGATCTGCAGCTCTCAGTTGGACACGTCTTTGTAAAAGGTTCACATTCCATTCGCCCATGTCAAAGACTTTGGACACGGACACCTACTCCGTCCTGTTGTCTTGTTGTTCTTGGTTGGTGCTGCAAGCTCCAGTCATCTGAGTCAGTTATATAACCTGAAACATGGTCCAGTATCTTGGTTGCTTAGATCGATACTCGCTGTGGAACACCTATGAGGATGTCCTAGAGGGGCGGGCCCTGCCCACAAACGAAAAGAACCACACGAGGAGCATATTCCAAAACCAAGTCTAGGAATCCAGTCATACGACTGGACCCTCCAAACCATTCCAAACCTACATAACAGTGTCTCCTCACCTTCGGTTCGGTACGGATCGGAATTCGGATGGACGACGTGGGCCACCCCTGTGGCACCTCCTTCTCCAGCACAGCATCCAACCGCCGTATCTCTGCCACGTCCAACGTGGGCAGCCGCAGAAGGCCTGGCTGAGGTGGTCAATTGGCTGCGGAGCTGCGGAGCCGGCCAGTGATTTCGTGGTGTGAGGAGCCTGAAAAGAAAGCACCTATCTATCTGGCTTTGGGGTATTTCAATCCGTGAACTATACCTATGAAGTTGCTGGTCCTAAGTACTTGGCCAATACCAATTGATCAATGAATCACTGCCCATCCCATTCCTCCGAAGACAATGCATCTGCAAAACACACACATGGGCGGCCGGCAGAACCACTGGGCGGCCGGTGTTTTTCCGCCCAAGAACGCTGGTCGAACGGCACAGTCGATTTTAAACGCTAATCTTCACACAGGGCAGAACCAGATCAAACCGTTTCAGATGAGACCCAGCTCCAGGAGAAACACCCACATGAGGCTTGAAGAAATATGAAGAACCAACAAGCAGAACCTTCAGACTCCGATCTTCAATCTTTGAACATCTTGGAACGCTGTGGTTTTTTGAGAACGATCCGAGGACCGGAGAGAGTCTATCTGCCCATGGCATGGCTGGGCGTTACGCCCCGACCAACCGAACGGTCTCCGCTCGTCGCCCCGACATCGCTCCGTGTCCCGTCTCGGACATCGCTCTGTGCCCGGCACCTTCGAAGTCCATCAGTTTCTTCCGAAGCACCTGCGATCGGCGGATGCCCATCCCGTCGGATTCGCCATGCATCCGTCTGTCCACCGGTCGGTCCACGGTTGCGGACGCGCGGAGCGGACGCGCGGACGCCGCGGTGGAGACGCCGCAGCGTTTTTGAGAGGATTCACTGCAGAGCTCGGTGTTCCAGAGTAGACTGCAGCGTCCAAGTGGAAAATGTTTCGAAGGCGGAATTGAGCTCTGCCCAATGACTACTACTATTCCAGTCCAGAAAAAACACACACACATATCCAACATGCAGTTTTACAAAAAGATGCACACCACCGCAGCAACAAAAAGCAGTTCTGCTCCAATGAACGACCGGATTCTGTGCTTTAGGTGGCACGTGCTATAGCAACGGGTTTCAGGAACTGCTCGCTGTTTGGGAAGAACTGCTCATAGCCACCCAGCGCTCGCCGCTCCGAAGCCGTAGCTCCCAAGCCGTCTCGCAGGATAGTCTCAAGTGTCGGTGAGTGGACAGGTGGGTGGACAACCTTGTGGAAATCAACTCTGACATCATCTGTTTTCGATCCCCAAAAGCTTTGTCCATAACCCTTCCCAGCGTTGGGCACACAAATCCATGTATCCCGTCATATCTTCCTCATCTGGAAAAAAACATCTTCCAACAATATCTGTTCTTCTTCTTTCATTCACGACCGAAAGAAGAACCCCCCCCCAGGGCCGATTTCGGACTTCACCCGACTCCAAAACCGGCCTCCACTTTGGGCATGTCGCCCGCTGAGAGGTTGTGAACTCTTTGGGCCTGGAGAAGTGAACCGGACCGGACTGGGGCTCGCTGTCGACCGGTCGAACAGGTGCAACGAGCAGCTGTCGACCTGTCGACGGAAGAAGATCAGTGCTGGAGCAGGATGAGGACTCTTAGTAGATATCAAGGAGACATATTATCTGCATAGAATCTTTCCTGGTGGAGTAAATGGAAAACATACCCCCTAACCATCCAACCTGCTTTTTCTTGGGTTGCAATATGAAAGCCAGGCTTTCAGAAGAAGTTTAATGAAAAACCTGACTTTTCAGAATGTTGGCACAAAGTTGTTAATCACATGCATTGGATGTTCAGAACGTGCCCCATGCTGCCCTTCATATCCTTCATGATATCTTGAAGCCATTTGATATCATACTGGATCCATTTGGCATCCAATGCTGTCCATCAGTCAGGTACTCAGCTGAACGTTGCGCAGTTTGAGTGTGCGGTTTCATGTTTGGGTGTTTGTGGCCATTTTGTGTGACCCGCGAGCCACTTTGGTTCTGTTTTGGGGACTTATCCTCTTTTGTTCTCTTTGACCGTGTTCTTGTTTGGCCATGGGACGCAGAGACCGGAGAGACCTTTCGTGTTTGGCTCCTGAGTGGGAAGCTAATGATGAGTTCAGGTCCCAAGTGAGGTCTTGTGGACAGGTGCTAGATTGTGGAGGCAGCCCTGTGTTTCACGCCACGGTGGCCACGTGCGCAGCTCACAAGGGTGTGTTCGCTCCAGTGCTTAAGTGGATGGCTAGTCAAGGGGATTCATTTCCCATGCCTGATATTGAGCCGTTGAAAGATGCGCTGAAGCAGTTGTACAATCTTTTGAACATGGTCATAGGGCAGGACCAAATCTACAGGGAGGCTTGGGGAATCCCTCATGGATGTGGCCTACTCAAGAGGAAGTACAGGCGAAAGGAAGTCTCTAAGGCCTGGATCTACGCTATGCACTTCAATTTGTGTATGTCCGGCCCTTTTGAAGGATATATATATATATTATAGAATATAAATTGCTGGTGAGTTGACAGGTTCAGGACTTCAGGGACTTGCTCCTCATTTTGGATTTGGATGGTAGCCTGCAGGTGGGCATCTTTTCCCTATATATGCTATGTTTGCCTCAACCCAAGTGTCTCTTAGGCTGTGATCACAGCCAACCCGATCTCCACTCAAGAAGAGGCTTGTTTGATTTGAGACATCTATATAGTTTTCTTCACAAGTTCTTGGGTGCCAGGACGTGGAGGGTCCCACCAGTGAAGACGTGGAGGAAAGTGAGGAGGAAGAACCAAAAGTTCAGGAAGAGTCTTGTGAGGTCGAGGGAAACGAGGAGGCTCCAGTTGCTCCAGCGGAGGACTTGCCAGAGTCAGCCGTTGAGGGTTCAGTCCCTGTTTCCAGCACCTCAGGTGACACGTCTCAGAATTTGGTGGAGAAGGCTCATACTACAGGTGCTGGGACCTTGGCCCGATTGTTCTGATATATACGGTATATAATTTGGTGCAAGCGTGGCTTCACAATCACAAGTTGTTGAGGCCGTTGAGGAAACCATTGACATCTTATCGGATGACGAACCGCAAGGCCAAAGTCTAATTGTGGACATGCACACATTTTGTGCATCGACAATCCTATAGTGACTATATAGTGTAAACTGGCAGGTGGGCAGGAAGCCCTTCCATCTCAGGAGGCAGATTGTCTTCTTTTTTTTTTCACGAATCCAATTGACAAAATGTTGATCAATCTTTATGGAACCCGAAGGATGCCATGCTCTCTCAGCTCCGGGAAGCAATGGCTCAGCTGGATCTGTCCTAACCTCATTGGAACCCTGATGCTCCTTCAACCTCCGTATTTTACTGGCCATCAGGATCAAAAGCCAAAAGAAGAACCAACTCTCTGATCATCCCTCAGGCAGGGTTTCTATAACTTGTTTGGGTGATGAGTGTATATATGCAGTGTATACAAGTTCAAAGTTATTTGCCAGGTGAGAATGCTCCACCTTATGGTCATGACGCTGCAGAGACCCTCCCCATGCCGGAGGCCATGAGCAATGCCGGCCCTTCACTTCTGGAAGGTGGACGTGCTGAAACCAATCAGCAAGAATACCCATGTGGTGGCAAAGGTGGTGGCTTGGAAGAGCCTCCAGAAGGGAAGAGTCAAATGACTCCGGTTTGGAAGGAAGGGCCAGAGGAGGTCAAGGACTGTGGATGCAGGGAGGGTAGCCCCTGTGCTGAGTGCTCCTCCTTTGAAAGCTACTGGAGGGTACAGGAGAAAGAAGAGCGGGACCTTCAAAGAGTTCTTGCACGTTGTGAGCATCTCAGAGCGAATGGCACGGAGGTGGAGGAGGACAATCGCACCCTCTTTTACAATCCCGCTCCAGGGGATGATCCAAAGGATGGTTTGGAAGAGGCTCAACCTGAAGAGGAGGAAGTTCAAGCAGAAAAGCCTCATGATGTTCCACCTGAAGAGGAGGAAGTTCCCGCATTCAAGCCTGATGAAGTTCCTAAGGACGAACCGCCACAGGACCCCAGTCCTGCACGGAGGCAGCTGTTCCCGGAAGAAAACCCGGAAATGCCAGCCAAAGGCCAGATGACAATTCCGCCAGGTCTTGCTGCCAGAGTGCAGGCCTATCAGGCTCATGATGTGAAGTTACCGTGCATACTGCGCACGGAGCAGCTGAAGCTCAGAAAGAAGAACAAGAAGGATGAGAAAATCGAGGGCAAGCGCGCAGATGACGCTGAGGAGGGCTCAAACGATGCGAAGAAGAAAACTGAGAGAGGAAGGTCTACCCGTCGGACTTCTGCTGGCAAAGCCAGAGCCAAAGCAAAGGCATCTTCGAAGAAGAGAGCCTCAAGGAAAAGGAATGCAAAGGAGGTTGAGACTGATGGCAATCCCGGTGATGCAGAGCAAAAGATGAAGAAGGGCAGGGCAAGGGAAGCAAGTCAGGCAAAGGAAGAAGCCAACTCAAGTGCTGCGGAGGCAGCCAGAAGTGGGAAGGGAAGGAAAAGGACTCGTTGCACTAGCCAAGAAGAAGAGCCGGCTCAGGCTCCTGGGTGTTCATCTTCCTCGCCAAAGCCTCATGAGCCAGTGAAGCCAGTGGAGACGGAGAAGCCCAAACGGGCCAAACGTGCACCAAAAGCCAAGGCAAAAGGGAAGGCAAAGGCCTTGCCCAAGCCAAAGGCCTCACCGAAGCCAAAGGCCAAGGCAAAGGGAGAGCCAAAGAGGAAAGGACGAAAGCCTAAGGTTGCACCTGTTGATCAGCAACTTGCAGCAGATGATGCCATTGTGCAGGAGTGTCGCGAGGAACTTGAGAAGCAATGGAGATCCAAGAAGCCTGTCCTGAAGAGTGAGGATTTCCCGAATTCTCCCGTGTACACACACTGCCGGCTCAACTCGTACTGGAGCCGAGCACGACCAACGGTTGGGATCAAAAACAGATCTGTGACCAAAGGCAAGGAGGAGGAGTTTGCCTACTTCTCATTCAGCCGTTCTGATGCCTTCAACATTGGTCTGGCAAAGCTCTTGGCAGAGAAGTTTGTTGGGAGCTTGGGTTTGAAGTTCATAGCATTTCTTTTCACTCTTCAGTATGTCACACTGCCTCTTAGGCCTCCTGGTACGACGTGCTGCCTCCCAAGGACCGTTTCCCTTCCAATCCTCAGGTTGCGGAGAAGGACCAAATTCTCATTCGGGCAGGGCACATGGCAATTGCTTCCTTCAAGTGCAAGCACCCTGAGATTTTCGGTGTGCAGGATGATCAGTAGGTTTGAAGCAAGCTCTACAGGCTTGACCTTTTGACTTGTTCGACGTTGGCTCTTCGGGACCGACCTGCTTAGCTGGCTGATGGACCCCATTTCATTGATGCAATCAATACCTTTTAAACTTATAGAGAAACACCAGCTTGAAAATGTTCAGTCTATATATATATATATGTTTGTTGGCCAGATGCGGTCGAAGATCCAGAAGGTAGGAACATCAATGTTGCCATTTGTTCTCCCACAGGGGAGGCTGTTGGGGTGCCGAGTGAAAGCTGACGGTTCAGCAGGGTGTACCACTCTGGCCTACCTGCAGCTGACCTTAGAGGATGGGGTAAGGAGAGAAAGGTGAGTCACCTTTAATATATTTCAATGACTTTGTTGCACTTTGCACGCCAAACAGTAGTTCAGAATAGCTTGGGTCTTGGTTATCCTTTACATGAGGTCTCATGGGATGCACAAGCTGAAGAGGAACACTTGGGCCTCTAAGAGGGGCCTGTTGAAGGATGGTGACCGTCATCCTGGCAAGCTTATAACGTTGAGTTGCGATGTGTTCCTGTTTTGTTGGAGTTGCACGCATCAAACATGTCTTCTGTCAAGAGCAGTGTTTCTCAAGCCCTGTTGGGTATCAAGTTAGCCACATCACGATGCTTTTCCTTCCGCACATCGTGGCTGGTTTGATAGCTTTGGATGCACCGAGTGACAAAGCCTGAGATGTTCCAAGTTGGCTTTAAAGATGGACTGCATGAGTGAAGCTTTCCAGTATATCAAAGCACTAGTCTTCCGCCTTAGGATTTTATTCTCGCGGTTTGCTTAACGGCCTGGTCATCAAGCGGCAGAATTGAAGAGGCTGAGTACTTACTGATTTGCCACAACATTGATTTGTCCATATATATATATATATATATGCGCGTGCGGACTCCAAGCAGTTAATTCAGCAGTGGCTTTGGTTTGGTGCTGCCTGCAGGTCTATACCTGGGTTGAGTTCTTTGCCGGTCGAGGAGCAGCCACAGCGGCTGCTCGAGGCTCTGGGCAAATGGGAGCCAAACTGGATTTGTTGTACTACCATGGCTCATCAACCAACTATATGGATCTCTTGACAGATTCAGGATTTCTGCCGGGGCCTTGATGCAGCAAGTGTTTTTGGACAAACAATCCTATCATATTATATAAAATTATATATATATATGTTCATTCAAAACTTGCTAAGGGTGGCAATAGCCTGCATTTTGAAGACGGTGAAGAACAAGAGCGTTATCTTGCTGGG